CTCGGGTCCTTGCGCTTGCGCAGCAGGCGGCAAAACCGCTGAGCCAAATCCCCGGCCCAAGATCCATTTTGATTTTGGTTTAATACATGGTAAGATATCTGGGTTTAGATTCAGTCTTCTGCATATAGATAGCCAGTTTTCACTTTTTATAGTGATTTATAACATGCTGTACCTGTTTTTGTTTTTGTTTTCCTAGCACTGGGGATTGGCCCCAGGGCCTCTCACATGCTAGGCAAACACTCTACAAATGAGCTCCATCCTCCACCTTTACATTTTTTTTTTTTTATTCTGAGACAAGGTCTTGCTAAGTTGCCCATGCTGGCCTCAAATTTATGATCCTCCTGTCTCAGTTTTCTTAGTGCCTGGGATTACAGGTGTATAGCACCACGCCTGGCTAGCATGTCATCTCTGAAACACCACAGTTGTGTGAGATATAGTCTGATTTCATAAGTGAAGAAATGGACAGTTAGAGAAGTTAGAAACCTGGAGGTGTGTGACATACAACTAGGATACAGAGTGCAATTTCCTGATCTGTATTCTGTGCTTTTCTTTTTGTTGTTGGTTTTGGGGTTTTGTTTTGTTTTTTTTTTTGGTACTGGGGATCGAACTTGAGACCTTGTGCTTGTGAGGCAGGTGCCGAAACCGCTGAGCTAAATCCCTGGCCCTCTGTTTTTTGAGACAGGGTCTTGTTATGTAGCTCAGGCTGACCTTGTACTCATTTGTGTGGCCCAGGTTGGTCTTGAACTCACAGCTGTCCTCCTGCCTCAGCCTCCTGAGGGATTACAGGTGTGTGCCACCATGCCCAGTCCTTCTGTGCTTTTCTATAACTGTTTGATCTGTTCAGTTAAAGTAGATGTAACTGTCAACAATTATGTGATACATATTTTTTTAAATTGCTCACATCCCAAAGTACTATTTACTGGCATTTCCTGACTTGTTACTTGTGGAAGCAGTGTATCCTCATTTTGCTTTTATAAATTTGACTTTGTTTTTAAAAATTACCATTACTTGTATTACCTTTACTTGTATAGTTGTTTCCATATGATTTGGAGTCTTGACATTTGTCATTTCTACTGGCAGTATATCCATCACATTAATATGCTTTTCTTCCCTATAGATAGGTATTAGGGCTGTTTCCAGATTTTAGCTCTAATATATAGCTGCTACAGCTAAAAATGTCTTTGCAAAAGTACTTTTTTTTCTTTTTCTTTTTCTTTTTCTTTTTTTGGCCAGTCATAGTGGCATATGCCTATAATCCTAGATTCAAGAGGCTGAGACAGGAAGATTATGAGTTAGAGCCCAGCCTGGGCTACATAGCAAGACCATGTCTCAGGGAAAAAAAATACCCACAAAACCATATATATATTTATATTTATTTATATATATATATATATAAAATTTTTTCTTTTGAATTGTTTCTTTGTGATATGGTGCTCAAAGTAGCGATGATAGATCAGAAGCTATCATTTAATGACTTTTGTCTTAGAATTCCTTCCTTAAGATTATATAGGTCGCTACCAGCAGTAACCAAACTCTTTATAAACCAGAGCAAGTTGGGTTTTACCACTTAATTGATGTGAGGCAGTATAGCACTTTAATAACTGCTTTAAGGTGTATGTCTTTAGAGTAGTGTTGTGGGACATTTCTCCCGGCATTTCATTGCGTGAACACTTGTAACTGTTCTCAGCTTTGGTGAGACGTGGGTGACAGAGCACTGATGACAGGGCATTATCTTTTATTTTACTTATTTTTTTCAATATTAGAAATTGAACCCAAGGCCTCAGATATATGCTAAGCCCGTGTTTATCACTGAGCTATACTCCTTAACCCCTGTTATTTTAAGGACAATTTTTCTCTTTTACTAAATATATTATTGAAAAATTGAGAAATATATAAAAGCACAAAGGAGAATATAGACACCCAAAGTTGGCTTTCCACAGTAAACTATTACTATTTATCTTTCCAGTGTTCTTTCTAAGCATGTGTATTCTTTTCCAATTTTCCAGTCCTTTTGACAGTCAGAAATAAATTATAAAATAAAATTATATTTATTACATATTAAATTCATATCTGTTTGAGTAATTCTTGCTTTCTTTTTTCAAAGTCAGAGACAGGAAAGGCATGCTGGCACATCTATGATCCCAGCACTCAGGAGGCTGAGGCAAAAGGATTGTGTGTTCAAGACCACCCTGGGCTATGTAACAAGACTCTGTCTCCAATCAGTCAAACTGAATCAAAAATGATTCTAAATCTAGGTTTAAAAATATCAGACAGTCTGCGGCCATACAACCCTAAACACGCCCGATCTCGTCTAACAATATCAGACAGTTGCTTTTTTAAAAAATTAAAACCTGTGGAGATTTTAATCTGATGTTAAAAAGCCCCTGAATGCTGAGGCTATAGCTGTGTGAAGGCCCTGGGCTCGAGTCCTAGTACTGCAAAGGGGAGACGGTGAGGAATATATATGTGGATATTCACATGCAGATGTATGCACGTACCAGTAATATATATGCATGCTCTACAGAGGAGGAGGGAGTCTTGACTAGGGGTTAGAAGAATGACTCACTTTGTACTGTTAACATTTCATACTATGTATCCGTATTTTTTTTACCCTGTGCATTCATTACATTATTAGCCAAAGATATTCAATCCAAATAAATAAAATAAGGTCAGAAGGCAGAAAACTCTGTATCTAGAAATGGACTAGATATCTTTCTGCCTATCAAAACCATTCTTTCTAATTGTTCATGCATTAGAATCTTGAAAGAAGGAATTCCCAGCTTTTAGTAAAGGGAGGTGAATGTCAGTGGGTAAGTAGAGACTGAGAGAAATGTGTCTCTCCTTGGCCAGTGAACTTATAATCTGACATTGCAGTTATCACTCTGTGTCTCAAATGGTGTACCTTATGTTGTCCAGTGGAGCAAGACAAGGAGATAGAAGGGAGGTATGGACAGGCTGAAATGGAATTTTCAGATTCTTGCCCATGATTTCAAAGTTCTATCCAAAGGTGTGCTCCCAAAAGAGTTTTGAGCTCTTCTCCCTACATACCCAACCCTAAACGGTGCCATCCCGTGCTGGTTTGCACCCTTGACTCTTGGGGCTGTTGCCTTTCTCACCCAAGAAATACTGCTTATACTCCCTGGCCAACATCATTTTAAGCAAAAAATTCAAAGAGAAAATTGAATTTTGCAATGAATATTCTTATACTTACCGCCTATGTTCTAGAATTATTTGGCTAGATTTGCTAAGCATACATTTCAGAGTAAGTTACAGATACCAGCCAGTATTCCTTAACCCTAAATATTTCAACATGCTTGCATATTGCTGATTAGAGTATATTATGTTTTAAAAGAAAAAAATATATATGGTGAACTTGTATTTGAGCAAAATGCTCTTTTTGGGGTTAGGGTACTGGGGATTGTACCCAAGCTATATCCCCATCCCTTAAAAAATATGTATCTATTTTTGAGACAGGGTCTTGCTAGATCACTAAGTTGTCCAGGCTGGGCTCACACTTGTGGTCCTCCTGCTTCAGCTTCCTAGAGTGCTGGGATTACAGGTGTGTGCCACTGTACCTGGCAAAATGCTCACACTTTAAGTAGATCATGTAATACATTTTTAACTATTGCATATGTGCCATATATCCCAAACTCTTCAAGAGGTAGATGCTGAACATAAAGCCAGAAAGCTTCTACATGTGCCTGCCCTGTTCCCTTACCACTGTGGTATAAGCTTTTTTTTTTTTGGTACTGGGGATCGAACTTGGGTCCTTACACTTGCACAGCAGGCGGCAAAACCACTGAGCTAAATCCCCGGCCCACCACTGTGGTAGTAATTGGTATTCTGATTTTTACATCATAGGTTGGTTAACCCTTCTTTCAAGTTCATGTGAATGAAGTCATGCAACATGAATTTTGTGTGAGCTTTTTTTTCATTCAGTGTGCTGTTTTTGTGATTCATCTGCATTACTGTGTTGTTGGTACTTCTTTCCTTTTTGTTGCTGAGTAATATTCCACTGTATGAACTTATCACAGTGTATTTATCCTTTCTTCTGTTGATGGATGCTGGGGCTGTTTACAACTTTTGGCTGTTATGGCTGAAGTTTTTTTGAACATTCTTGTGGAGGTTTTTTTTGTGGACATATGGTTTTATTCTACTTGGGTAATCACTGGATCAGAGTAGGTGTGTGCTGAGATTTGTAATAAACTGCTAGACTTTTCTCCAAAATAGCTGTACCATTTTGCTTTCCCACAACCAAAGTGGGAAAGTTCCATTTTGGTCTTTAAAAAATGTATACACATGGCCGGGGTTTTAGCTCATTGGTTCCGCCACCTGCCTCGCAAGCGCAAGGTCCCGAGTTCAATCCCCAGTACCAAAAAAATAAAATTAAAAATTAAAAAAAATATATACACAGAGGATTTTCTCATCTGGATACACATCCTTTGCCAGATATATATTTTGTGATTATTTTCTTCCAGACTATGGTTTGTGTATTCTTTTTAGTGAGCATAAGTTTTAAATTTTGATTAAGTCTGATTTATTGGATTTTTCTTTTGTGTTATTGCTTTCTGTGTCCTGAGAAAACTGCCTAACCCCCTAGGCAGAGAGATGCTTTTATCTCTTTTCTTCTAATAGCTTTCTAGCTTTAGATTTTATGTTCAGGTTTGTGATCTATTTTGAATTACTTTTCCGGTTTGGTGTTAGGTGTAGGGTCAGGGTTTATTTTTTCCCATGTGGACATTCAGAGGTTCCCCAATGATTTGTGACCTGTTTCCTGTTAGAGTGTGCATACCCTTCTGGTTTAAAGGGCAGGCTTTTCTCCTGGGCTTTCTTGGTTATCTGTGTATGGAGAGAGGAGTGCTAACCTGCTTGGTCTCCTAACCCTTGACTTATCCGGTTATGCTCCGGGTGTTCCCAAGTCCTGATGCAGAAAGCCCTGGAATTCTTTTCTTGTCAGTAATGAGTTGTAGTGACTGGATCTTCTGTTCTTTTGGGCCTAGGCTGAGCAGTGTCCCAGTGAAGGAACGCGTAAAGGTGTCTCAAAACTGGAGGCTGGGGCGCTGCCGAGAGGGGACTCTGCTGAAGTGGAGATGCAGGCAAGTGGCCTCTGAGTCCTTTAACGCTTTCTGGGACAGAAGAGCATAGTGGGAAGTGGAACATTGGCTTCGGTGTAAGGGAGGCTGTTCTACATGGGCTGTTGCTGGTCAGTCATGAAATGCCACAGAGGAGGCATCAGAGGGACAGCTTGTTTTCACATTTAAAAGGGAAGTTATAAGAAGCATACTTTAAAATTATATATATTCATGATTATTAAAAAGTTTATTATAGAAATTTGAAAAATTGTAAAAATATAGAGAAGAAAATAAAAACTTATAATTTCCTGCACTCATAGGTAAAAGATATAAATTAAGCCAGTGTTCTAATCTATGTTGTTTATAATTATTTTTCTTCAGATCTTCTGCTCTAGGGAGTTAGTAATTCACTCAACTTCCTTTAGCTCTCTCTTCTACATGTGTGTGTACGGTGTGCTAGAGATTAGACTGAGGGTCTTGTGCATGCTAGGCAAGTGAGCACTCTTGTCACTGAGCTAGATTCCCAGCCCCATCTCCTCTACTTTGTTAAAAGAGGAAATAGGATTTAACCATTTGGATATATGTTATACAGGTAGGACGTAGACAAAGTGCAGAAAATGGAGATGATGGCTGTTGCTGTTATGGTTTAGGTGCCCCAAAGCCACATGTATTTGGGAGGTGACTGGGTTATGGGGCAGCGTAGCTGACGTGCTGTTAATTAGGAGGTGGGGTCTGGTTGGAGGAGGTGGGTCAGGGGGTGTGGCTTGAAAGGTCTGTCTCTCTTCCCTGCTCTCCCTTTACATCTTGCTTCCTGCCACCATGAGTGAGCAGCGTTTGCTCTGCCGTGCTCCTCTGCCATATCGTACTGCCTAGGAGCCAGCTGACTATGGACTAAACTGTGAGCCAAAATAAGCCTCTCCTTTTAGTTGTAGATATTGGGTATTTTGTCCTAGTGATGAGAGAAGTGACTAAGACAATGGCTGTGGCACTGCTAATGCCACAAATTTTATGCTTCATCAATGCTCAATTGTTTCAAAGACATTTGACTCCCCATCCAAAATGTGCTTCTCGGTTGCAGTGGGTAGAGAACTTCATGAGTCCCCACTCCAGGAGTGACATAGTCTTGTGCTGCTTGATAGAGGCATCTGCTGAGCTGCATGTGCTGAGCCTTTCTCTCTTGCTTGTGTCCAGTGTCCACTGGTTTCACTGGCATCAGCTGCTGTGAATTGTGTGGTGGTGGTGATAGCAGAGAAGCCATGGAAGAGGATAGATTTTTATGATGAAGGGCTTTATCCTCTGCTTCCCACTTGTGCTGTTTAATATCAGAGAGTAGAGTTTATTTCTCTATCAAGCTTTTGTCCTTGATGTCTTTTGGGGTCAGTTTCAAGCAGTTTGGCAAATAAACACACAGAACAGTCACCAGCCTGCCCTGGGATTCTCCATTGTTCACCTGGTATGAACCGGCTTTCTTTCTTGTTCTAGGCAAATGACTGTTTACCAGATGGCTCTAAACACACGAATTCCAATGCCTATTTGCTACCAGTTTGAGTGTGCCACACACTTATGGACAGAATGTTGAGGAATGTGTATAATGAGCGAGAGTGCAAACATCTGTACACATTTGTACATGTTCTCAGTCACCCATGCACATGCACCTAACGGTCTCATGGGCAGAAACTCAGTTATTACCAGGTCCAAGCTGCATTTAATGGCCTGTCAAGTCAATTTGCAGAACTTTTCCACATTCCCATGATGCCTGTTTTAAGGAGCTTGGGGAAGAACAGCCCAGTTTGCTCAGACAGGCTTGGCAGTGGGAGGTGGTGTCTGTAGATGGGGATGAGTCAGCCGCTTCTCTCCTTTCTTGGGTCCAGGCAGCTCCAGGACCCCGGGTGGGGGAGACAGGTGGGTTGTCCACCTTGAGAAGGGGCGTGTGGTCCTGTCAGAAAGCATGGCCTCCTACCGCCTTCTTTCTAAAGGCTCACCTTGTCCCTTGGGACTGGCCTGTGGCTTCTAACCTTTCTTCTCCTGCAGGTTGGAGGGGAAATCTTCAACCATTTGTAGGTTTCTCTTACCAGTTGGATGGCAGCTGGTTTTCTCTGTGGCCCCTGAACTACAGCAGACTTCCCTGAAGTTGTTTTTCCATTGTCACACTTAACCTCCAGTACAGAAATGCAGGTATCTCTGGGAGGACCAAGGCATCTCATCAATATATTGCCATACCTTCCTGAAGGGGCCTTACTTCTTTCACTTTAAATGGTCCCTTTGCTCTCGTATGACTAAGGAATTGGGCTTCCCTGGGCACACTATTCTCCATTGTCCATCACTGTTTCCGAGTAGATTCTGACTGATCTGTGCCTAAGGGTACAGAACAAAAGAAAGTTACCTTACCTGGTTTGAAGATTAAACGAAAATAATTTCACTTGACTAGATTTCTTTTTGACCCTCCCTACTCCTTAGCTATTTAATTTCTTTTCTTTCTTTGCAGTACTGGGAATTAAATTGAAGGCCTTCCCACTGAGCTACATCACAGAACTTTTCAAATTTTTTTATTTTGAGATGGTGTCTCACTAAGTTGCTAAGTTGCCCTGGGTGGACTTGAACCTGTGATCTTCCTGCCTTGGCCTCCCAGAGTGCTGGGATTACAGCCGTGTGCCATGATGCCTGGCTATCAACCATTTAATTTTGTAAATTCTGCCTATCTTGAAGTGTAAGCCAGTAATTCAAATATTAAGCATTCTCCAATTAAAAGATATTTAGTTGGTCTTATGGTTCTGACTCTCTTTCAGAAAGTTTGAAGAAGATTATGTCACCACAAAGGTCAGTCATGCAGGCTTTCTGAGGGCAGCTGAGAGTAGGCTGAGAGTAGGCTGAGAGTAGGCAACCTAGAAGGCAGGGACTACTCCTGTAGACAGGAGCCTTGCACGTTAGCCTTGCTAGACTGGAGGTTGGTCAGCTGTTTTAAAGCTTGGAGTCAGCCTTACATTTCCTTTTCTGTCTCTGCAGTCAGATGCCGTGGATGCAATTAGAGGATGATTCTCTGTACATATCCCAGGCTAATTTCATCCTGGCCTACCAGTTCCGTCCTGATGGTGCCAGCCTGAACCGTCGGCCTTTGGGAGTCTTTGCTGGGCACGATGAGGATGTTTGTCACTTCGTGCTGGCCAGCTCACATATTATCAGTGCAGGAGGGTAAGTACTGAAGGTTTCTTCTTCCTCCCTCTTCAGAAACCTCATGTCTGCCTCTGAGTTTCCTGTCTCAACCCCAAAGGGATGAGGAGGGAGACTAGAAGAAACGGTGTTTTTAAAATTAATTTTTCTGTTTAAAGCAGAGAGTTACCCAAAGTAGTTCATAGGGTTAGCTGGAAAAGGAACCCCGAAAGAACCTTTAATGCAAAGTGAAGCTGATTTTGATACCCTCAGGGAGAAGTTTATTTTATCTCAGCTTTGTTCAGTCCTAAGTGTGCTGAAGAAGTAGAGGTATCTAGAAGCTCAGCACTTGTCTAGTGCTTTGCATATTTGGGCATTCTTGGAGACCTGGGCTGTTTCTGTACATTTGTTCTCTTCCTACAGAGAGAGTAATTGGCTCTTGGGGGGTGGGCTCCTTATTTCTCTCCTAGAGATGGGAAGATTGGTGTTCATAAGATACACAGCAACTTTGCTGTCAAGTACTCGGCTCATGAACAGGAGGTGAACTGTGTGGACTGCAAAGGGGGCATCATTGTGAGTGGCTCCAGGGACAGGACCGCCAAGGTGAGATGGTCTCCCCCTTACAGACTGTTGTTCCCTGCTCTCTGTGGGGAGTAGGGTGAGAGAGTGTAGAGAGGGCCTTGTACCCCAGGAATGGCTCAGAACCTTGGTGGGGGCAGGGGAGAAATGACACAATAAAAAAGCTCACTTATGTGCCTCTGGCATGCAGCTTGCCATGCCAGGCTTCATCCCTGCCGGCTGGACCGGGAAAGGAGTGGACAGTAGCTGGGAAGCCTGCCACTCACTTGAAATGTGGCGTGAACTCAAAAACAGAGGGCTGGCCAGCTTTTCCTCCCTGGGCTGAGTTTCCTCAAATTTGTGGGTTTGAGTTCTGACCCCAATATTTTATTTTAAAATCTCCCACCTTTTGCTGCTGTCTCTTTAGGGAGGTTAATTTTTCACCACCTTATTTATAAGCAATTAGACTGATAATTAAAATTTGTTTTTACTGCTTCTCTGGAGAGTGATGTGGTTAGTGAGTAGAGGGGAGAAAGGTGTTATTTGTTGCATCACTGCCACAGTGCCAGGCCTGCAGACGTCCACTAAGGCATAAAAGAATGAGGCTGATAAATAGCATGAGTCTTGCTTTGTGGACTCAGCTCACCCACATCTGGGACAAGTAGGCTTCCACTCATGAGACAGAGGAATTCTCCATGCTTGTGTCCAACAGCCCTAGTAGGACATGAGCCTGGCCCTTTGGGGCTGCCATAGGGACTTTGCTGATAATTTAGTTGATGGTGTGGGAGGACCGGCCATGTCTTGCTTTCCATTTCCCAGCATCTACAGGCTTCAGAGAGCTAGCAGCAGCAAAATACTTGCTAGTATCAGCAAACAGGCCCCTCAGAAATACAGGGAGAGGGCCCAGGAGATTCAGGAACTTTTCTGGCTTCATGTGCCCTCTAGTGATTACTCCTTCCTATTGCTAATTTATGTAAAAAGGGCTAAACAGGGTCCCTTCCTTTTGTGGAAGCTTCTGCCTTTGCTGTTTTCCATCGTAGATGTTGTACTGAGTCAGAGGACGCACACCAGCACAGGAAGCCTGGGACATCTCCAGCTAGTCTTTCAGACCAACATGGAAACTGAATTTCCTGTCGTTTGCTTCTCCTTCCCCTCCCCAGTGCTTCAGGTTCCGATTGGTCACCGCTTTTATAACATGCCCTGCCAAGATACTAGCCTTAACTTGCCCAGTGGCTCAAAAGGAAATTTGTATAGAAACTTCTTGTGGCATATGTGACCTACAGATTCCCATGTCATTCTCGTATCTTCCTGTCATGGCTTCTGGCTTTCCTTGGTTCCTCCTTGTTAGTGACCTCTTTTTCTTCTATCCTGTCCTCTGTTCTGGCACCTAGAACAGCATAAACTAAGCTTTTAACTACATGTAGCAATTTGAGGGCATGGACTGCTTACAATTGAAGAATGATAGCAACTTTTCCTGGGATATTGGGTTTATTTCATACGTAAGTATTGATTCAGCTCTATTTAATAGCTTGGATTTTTTTTAAAAAAATAAAATAGATAGGGCTGGGGATTTAGTTCAGTGGTTCCGGCGACTGCCTGGAAAGTGCAAGGTCCTGAGTTCGATCCCCAGTGCCAAAAATAAAATAAAATAGATCTTCCTACTTTTAGAAATTGTACCCCAGTCCACCATCTTCCTTTTGAGGATTTCTTTTAGGTTTTGGCAGAATTCCTTTCTCTGTTCTTCCTCACCTCCTAAGAGAGGACCAGCTGGTGGGGAGCTCCTTGTGACCTGCTGGCTGGCTCATTTTTTTCTGGTATTCTGGATGCAGCTTGGGTCTCCTTCCTTTCTGCTATTGTCCACGTATCTACCACCTTCCATTTCTTGGCCCATTTCCACATTGCTCACAATTTGTCTTTTATAACTGATTCTCCATTTCTTTTCAGTGACATCAGTTCTACAGCTGTTTCTGTAGACTTCTTTTTTGGGTTTTTTGGGGGTTATTTTGGTACTGGGGATCGAACTCAGGACCTTGCACTTGTGAGGCAGGTGGCAAAACCACTGAGCTAAATCCCTGGCCCCTTTGTAGACTTCTAATGCACCTAAGCCTACAGCAGATCTTACAAGTAATGTTATAGACATAAACCTCTATTGTCTGTTTTTTTTGAAGTTTTCCAAATATGTACTGTCTTTTAGGAAAGAGAGGTTTGTTTTTATGGGATGAAAGGAGCAAAACATTCCCTTTGTGAAACTTCTGAGCCAGGCACTGTCCCAGAAATATCCTTCTTCCTTGCCATCTCCCCAGTCCCAGTTTCAGATTTACTGTGACTTAGTTTGTATTGCTTCTCTGCACTTTGGCAGGGTCGGCTTACACTGAAATACTGTATTAGCTTTCTCGTTGCTGGAACACAATACTCAACACCCACAGCTCTTAAAAGAGGAGGGGTGCAGGGCATTGTGGCGCATGCCTATAATCAATCCCAGCACTTGGGAAGCTGAGGCAGGAGAATTACCACAAGTTTGAGGCCAGCCTGGGCCACACAGTGAGCTCAAGGCCAGCCTAAACTATACAGTAAGACCCTGTCTCAAAAAAAAAAAAAAGCAGGCCAGGGATTTAGCTCAGTGGTGCCTTTGCTTGCCTCGCAAGTGCAAGGTTCTGAGTTTGATCTCCAGTACCAAAAAAAAAAAAAAGAGGTTTAATTTGACTCATGGCTTCAGGGGATTCAGTACACATTCAGATTAGTTCCCAGGGTCACCCTGGATGACCAGACACATGCAGAAGTGTCTTTCCTAATCCCCTTCACTGCTCCCAAGCCAATCAAATGACAAAAAATTGAGGCCATTTCTTGTCAAATTATGAAGCATCCCAAAGATCAGAGCTAATAAGTAATAGTCCAGATTGGTTGGATCCCAAAGCCTGTACATGCTTTTTCTGCAACTGCAGGCTACAGGGAATATTTTACTATTTAGATTTTTCATTGTTTTAGGATTATTTTCTTAGCATGGGTTCTTAGCATTAGAATTCTGAATTAAAAGCTTTGGTCATTTTAAGGGTCTTGCTACCCCCAATCTTTTTTTTGTAAAGGGCTATATAAATATCCATCCCCACTGTATACTTATTTTCCAAAGTGAGACTGTTATGAATTTCACTATTGAATGGTAAAGATATGCCCACTGCACTGTGTCACTTCTTGTCCCTCACATTCAAGGACACTCGTGCTGCTGGAGTATGTAGTGCTGGTGGTGCAGGCTTTGAGGGTTGCTTTTCCAAGTCTTACTTGCAATTGGCAATGTGCTTCCTGAGCTACTGCAAGACACCAGGAACCTTGCTCTGTGGTTTGCAGAATCTAGGAATCTACCAGTCCTCTCCATAGAGGGCACTAGTGAATTCACACTGTCCCTAGACAGTTTGTAAATCATATTCCTTACAGCCCCACTCCCCTGCAGGCAAAGCCTGCCTCCCAAGGAGTTCCTATCAGGGACAAGGGAAAGCTCCCTTCCAAACTGAGCAATCTAAAGGAGGAAATCAGAAGTACAGGAAGTTACTAACAAAGAGGCTGACTATAAAACCCAGAGTAAACTGGAATCTTGGCATTCCAGAAGAGAAATGCAGAGTTTACCTTTGCTTTCTGCCTCTCCTTGTTCAGGACCTTCTCTTTAAATTATTTTCTTTCCCTGGAAAAGTTACACAGATAGTCAAATAATCACCCCAACACACACACACACACAGTCTCTCTTTCTCTCAGACACACACACACACACACACACATATACACTCACACTCACGAAACCCTTTTTCCTATCATAGGGAAGAGAGACCATGTGACCCAAGAAGGCATGACCACCCCTGCTCCGTCACCTACTCCTTAAACTGGAGGAATGTTTCTTTAAAGTTCTTCCATCTAAGGTCCTGCCTGTATCCACCGTGTTCCTCTTATAGCCCTGCAGGGACCTTGAGAGGTCACTGATCCATCTGGCTGCCTTGGGACCCCTCTTGGCTGCTGTCTGGGGACAGCCCTGTGCATTTCAGGTTTTCTTTCTGTTTGGTTAGAGGCTTATGTGCCTCGTGTGTCATCTGGAGTAGGGTGAGGTGAAGGGGAGACCAGTGCTTAATGGGAGATTTCTAAATGCACTAACTGCTGAGAGGGCTCTGTGAGTGTTGATTAGAGTTAAGCCCAGAGTGGCTGCTAATGTACATTCCTGACTGATAGGGTCCAGATAATGTGCTCCGAGCAATATTTTTAACCTGTAGGAGATATGGAAGCTTAAAAGAGTTAAGCTTTTCTGCTACTTTTGGTGACACTAGGTGCTAAATTCCCTGTTGACATGAATAGCACTGGGTCCTGGGCAATAGGAACAAACAAACAACACATCTCTTTGCTGCTCTGAAGCCTCTTCCTTTTCTTCCATTCTCTCCTTCCCTTGCAGCTTTCTTTTTAGTCTTCTGATTACCCCTGTACTCCCATACTATACCTCAATCTTCCTCCCTCCCTGCTTGCACAAAGTAAAATCTTGGGAAGAAATAGGAGAAAGGAAGAGCCACAAACTTGGGGAAGTTGCTGAGAGAGGCAAGCTCCATTTACCCACCCCTTGTTAGTCAAGTCTCAGGTGAGGAGTGTGAAATTTCTGATTCTCTGGTGTGAAATTGGCTGGTACATGATTGCCTTTGGTGGAAGGAAGTCAGAGAGTAGTTAGGACTGGGAGCTAGGGTCTATCTGAGTGTAGGTGAGCCCGAAGCTGCAGAGGTCCCTCTGCTGATGCCTGAGCTCTGTGTGTGCACAACAAAGAGAATTCTCTATTACCTCATTTCCCTAGGGTAGTCACCCATGTGGTACATCTTTCTTTTCCCCTAATCCCAGGCAATGCCATTGAGAGCATTTCCTTCTTTGTTTCCAGGTATGGCCTTTGGCCTCAGGCCGGCTGGGGCAGTGCTTACACACCATCCAGACGGAAGACCGAGTCTGGTCCATTGCTATCAGCCCGTTACTCAGGTAAGGAAGACATTTTTGGATGTGATTTGTCCATGTACAGTAGGTCCCTGACTTGTGAAAGAGTTTTGTTCCAGGAGAATGTTCATAAGTCATATTCATTTGTAAGCCTGATATAGTGAGTCTTGACACAAATATACAATGTATGTTGCTCTGAGCTTCCTAGCAGTCCCCTCCGCATCACCACTGCTTTTCCTCTTGCTCCCAGACATCTTGGTGTCTGATTGGGCACTGTACAGTGAGCACACAGCACAACTGCTACACTGTCTGGCAGACCCATGAGCTACTTCCACAATGTGTTTGCATTTACGAGTGTTTATAATGCGAGGTCCGTTTGTAACTGTGAAAGTTCACAGCTTGAATGTTTGTAAATAGGGACTTTCTGAAATGCTTTTGTTTTACTAGGTCAGATGAGCTAGAAAATCTTCCACCTGCATATTCTAGGTTTCTTTGAGCCACTATCTTGGAGATTTTTTAATTCTCCAAGAGACTTAAGGTCTTTTCATATATGCATGGGGTTGGGATAACTTTCTAGAAGTTGATTTCCTAAGCACCTAACCTCAGAAATGTTAAGAAAAAGAAACCAAACTGGTTTGTAAGAGTCCAGCTCTTATAATTGAGTCCAGCTTATTAATAGGGGTGTCCTTTTTGGACTGGATGCCCTCTGGGGTTGCTTCAAAACAGAGGCCTGCCAGCATCTCTGGGGAGGTGCAGTAGCACTAACCTGCTCTCACTACCCACATCTCTGCTTTCTTCCCCTGGAAGATGTCCTGTGGAGTATCCATTACAGGCTGCAGTTGCCAAGAGGGGCTTGTGTCTGTATCCAAATACATGTATGTGGAAGAGTAGAAACATTGACAGTTGCAGCAGATCTGCAGCATTTTGGATGATGGCTTTATCCTATCTTTGGGCCTGGTTGTTATTTCTGTAGGTTTACCTAGAGAAATATGAGCACAGGAGCTTTGTATCCTGACTTCTGCTTTCTAGGCTCTTTGAAACATAGCCAGGCCCCTCAGTCTGTGCACACAGAGGGTGCACAGACTGTCTCCTGTACTGTTCTGTCGTGATATCGCTAGTCTGCCCACTGCTGTCGCCCCTCATCCCACTCAAAGGGAGATGGGCAAGCTGTCAGGCCACTGCCGTCCAGTGCTGGGTTAAATCATTCGCTTGTTTTATGAGCAAGTTGGTCTTCCCTTTGCTCAGTCTCCTTTAGCCTCTTTCTCCTCACCTCATGGAGCCTGTACCCCTCCTCCTGGTCCCTTCCACAACTCCTTTTCAAATTTTTTTCTTCCTAAGAATTAGAACCGATTAGCCACATCATTAATTCTTCAATTTGACGGCTGATATAGCAGGACCTGAAACACATTGGTGACCCAAGAATGGAGACCCCATTCCTTAGCATATTGATGATGGGAGAAGTTAATTAAAATTCCACAGAGCAGAGGTGTCGGCTAACCTATAAACCTGTCGTTCAGAACAAATCATTCTAGCAATCCTAGGAAAGACCAGCAGGGAGTGGAGAGGCTACGTGTGTGGGAGCAGAGGGTGGAAAATGGAGCCATTGAGCTTTGTCTCCTCCTCAGTTTCTCTCTGATAACTGCCCCTCTTACAGCATAGTGGACAGGTTTGGTGTATGTGGCTAGTACCTATAAAGACTGAAGGAAGATGGGACAGGGTGTGGGAGGTGACAGGTGTGCTGGTTACTTTGTCTTAGTGGTTGCCTGTGAACTTCTGGTGACTTCTGGAGACTGGTGGTGGAGGGGCCAGTGGTAGACAGAAGCTCTTCAGAACTGGAGATGGTCCATGTCCCCCTCCCCACCTATCCCTTCCTCTGGAATGTCAGGCCACCCCTGACAGAAGAGAACACAGCACCTGTTGCAGGTGCTGTCAGTCAGGAGGTTAAGAACAGCGTCTGCTGTCATCATTAAGAGCACTTGAGATCACAATAAACTCTGATCTTAAGTTTTGATTTTGGGCCACAACTTGGAGACTGGCTTCAGGGAAGGACTTAGCTCTCTAATGTCACTACTGCAGTGTGACTGCTGTCACTTCTAGCAGCTAACAGCTACAGTCTTCTGCTCTGTGTAAACCTTCTGCGAAGTTCTTGCTGTGTCTTGTTTTTGGTGGAGACGCAGGCCCTGTGGTCCTCTCACAGTCTTTAGGAGTCTTCTTGACTTCTTGATGTATTTTCTTGGCCCTGGACAATTCTTTTGCTTATAGTTGATGAGCTGTTTAGCTCCTGACCTGTGTTATTTGAGATGGCTTCTTCTCCAATCCACAGACCATCTTAGGCTCTTTTTTTTTTTTTGGTACCGGGGATCGAACTCAGGACCTTGTGCTTGCGAGGCAGACGGCGGCACCACTGAGCTAAATCCCCGGCCCTGTCTTGGGCTCTTTTTAAAAAGTTTGTTTGGGGATTCTTTCTTTACACTGGATGACTAGGACATGTATGTCTGGTGTTATCTCTGCCCCCGTTTTTTTCCTCTTACCTGAAGAATATACTGGGCTCAGCTAGAATCTCATTTTACCTGATGTAGCGTTTCCTTATAAATCAATTTCTTTTCACTGTGTCCGTAACTTTGAACCTTTCAGTGAACTCATCCATTTCCCCACCTTTGTGAGGCACTGGCTTCCAAATCCAGGGTCTGTTCTTCAGAGCATTCTGGGAGATGAGCTCTGCTTTGCTCTTTTCACAGGGTGGCCAAGGTGACTATTTCCTCCTGGCCTCATTTCTTCAGTGCAAGTACTCTTTTCTCTATAGACCTTACTAGAACATTGTGAAGAGGACCTGGAAGAATGCACTCTGTGAAAAGACTCTGAAAAGGTAAAAGAGCTCTACTGTTATGTTGATCAGAATCCGCTTGTTCCTGACTTAATGTTTCCTCAGGGACTTCCGCTGTTCTCAAGCCTGTTCCCTGGACTCTGGGCTTCCCTAGAGCCCTGGGGAACCACAGCTCTTGTACAGTCCTCTGGAGGTAGGGACTTGGTAGAGAGCACTCTTCTCATCTTTTCCCCTGGGTGTCCCTGTCCTTGGTGGGTGCTTGTTCTCTTTGTCACCATTGCTGTTGAATGTGATGATCACATCGTGAATGTCCTGGGATCCTGGACCCTCATGTTCTTCCTGAGGGGATGTGGGCAGCAGGTGTTCTCAAGGGCAAGTGCTTCCATCCACCTGTCGGTTTCTCAGCCCCGTGGTGCTCCCTGGCAGAGGTAGAAGGGCCCTGGGCAGCGAGGAGACCTAGCGCTGCTCTCTTCTCAGTCTCCTTTCTGTTTGCAGTGATTGATCAGATCTGTTTATCTAGCTTAACCTTGCTTCTGGGGCTTTTATCCTCTTTTCCGGTGTGTGTGTTCAGGCACCTGTAATATGAAGTAGGGAGCCTCAAGTCCTCAGCTTAACATGAGGTGCTGTTGGCTAGGGAAAAGCAGATATTCTGTCCTGAGTCCAAATGCACCTTTTCTTTCCTTTTGAGACCTTGGATTCTTGATTTGTAGACAGTTGTGGAGGATGACACTTAATTCCAGTTACATGCTCAGGGCCATGTTCAGATACTAAAAGGTGCAGAAAAAAACCAGCAGGGCCTGAAGGAAGGTGTCAGACAAAGACCTTTTCCTCTGCCTCCCATATGCCCACCTACCCATTTTCTTGTTCGGACGCCAGTAATCTTATTTTAAAGATGCATGAGGCCTTCTTCCTGCAGAGGAGGGTGCACCCAGGGTTGCTGGATGAGTGAAAGGAGGGCAGACTGAAGTGGCACGGTGGGCCCAGGGCAGGTAAGCCTTGTCTGGGAGTAGTTAACGGGGCAGGACTATGTCCAGCTCTATTGGTCTTAGAGGTACAACCTCTTAAGGTCACATTGAATTCTGAGCACTTTCTTGTGAGTAATATAGAAAAGCAGATTTTTAAGAATATATGATATGTTTTATTGCCATTTTAAAATTACTTCTGGCTGAATAAAGTAAGTACTTCAGAACAAGGCTTTGTGGCGCTGCTGCATTCTTAACTTCATTCTCTTCCACTTCCTCTCTTCCTTTCCTATTCCCTTTTCACCCCACTCCCTGTGTGACGGCTTCCTCAGGATCTTTCTTAATGAGGGATAGGATGGGAGTGTCACTGTGAGTGTAGGCTAGATGGAGTGCCATCAGCTAGACTCTGGTTGTGGAGAGGCTGTCATTTTCTTTTAGAAAAGAGGACAAGTTGAGTACAGGGATGATGAGTACCGGGCTGGGTGGGGTGGCAGCAGAGGCCGTGGTTTGTCCCATGTCCAGGCTATGGTGAGGCCTCTGGGCCACTGTTGGCTTTCACTCTGCAGCATCTTGGAGGGTAGCCATGGCCCCGAAAGGTTCTGTAGGGACTGGGGAGCAGTCTCTCCTCTTGTAGGACAGAGCTGAGGCAGGGAGAGGTGGGGAGGCAGCATGTGGAAGCCTGGGTGCACTCAGGGAGCTATAAACTTGCACCATTCTGGGAGCACGCATGCACGTAGATCTCCAGTTTCCAGGGCCTCTCCAGCCAGCAGTGGGGCTGTGGTGAGAGCAATCTGCAGACCCCTGCCCTGTTTGAGAAGGGAAGGGAAAGGAGCACACAGTCCTTCTCCCTCTGCTGGCACTTCCTGTTGCTCTAGAGAAGAAGGTGCTCAGCACAGCCTTTCCCTGTCTCAAGCAGCGCTGCCCTTGTGTGGGTGAGTGTGGTCAGGAGGGCTTCCCAAATCCTTTCGTTTTAATCCCTTCTCTCCCCTTTCTGTCATCGGGGAAGTGTATGAGGGGCACAGGTGTAGAAATTTGACTTAGCTGTGTTATTAAACGCACAACATGATTCTGTGTAACTTTGCTTACTGTAGTGGCCATTTATTAAGGGAGGAGGAGCCCACGTCTGCATGAAGTGTACCAGTCAGGTCTGTGAAGTGAGTTGCGGCCCTGGGGTCTCAGAGGGGAGGTGAGCCTACAGGGAGAGAGACCACGGTGCATTGTGCTGTTTGTCAGGAGTGGGGCTTCTAGGGGAACAGGAT